CTCGACATGTTTCTAATCTTTATACAACGTCATTTTATCGCTAAATGTTCACATGGAAACTTGTATTGCCAATACAATTCCAAGATCTATCCTATATAATGGGCTATCTATGCCCTGCCCACCCGCTTTTTTTTTTTTTGCGTTTTAACCTCTCAAACTTACAGTTTAGCCACTGAGCCACTGCTATGAATAACGCCAAAAAATAAGTCCAAGGTAGATATGCTATGAATAACACCAAAAAGAAGTCCAAGATATACACTACGAAAAACAACCCAAATACAAGTCCAAAGTATATGGCAACCCCCAAAAAACTTTTCAAGATAACTATTACAAAAATGTCTGTTTTCCAGTCTTGAATTTAAAAAAAAAAACGTATCAACACTCAAATATTAACTACAAATAAAAATAAAAAAGATAAACCCTCACTGAGGGAGGTACCCCAAACTGCCTTCCAATTTTAACGACAGAGCAACTCCTAGTCCAAGACATATGCTCCAAATTTGAATAATAATAAAAATATTCCACGCAGGAAAAGCTTACATACTGCAATGTTTTATAGGCTTTATTGTGTTATTAAAGTTATGCGTTTCTTATGTAAAAAGTGTGATAAGTGTAACCGCTCTCTATTTGTCGATTTTTTTAAAACAAATTATCATTAATATGATTATGCTTGTTGTTACTGAATGAAACTTTTCCGTCTTATTATTATTATTGTGACTGACAAATTTAAAACACCTTTTAAATGTAACACTATTTTACACAGACGAGAACACAATTTTCATTCCTCTCCCGTGAGAATAATAAAAAAAAATCATAATTTAATTTGTCTTATTTTGCTTTCTTCTGTGTTTTGTCATCTTAACGGAAGTCCATCATGGTATGTTATACTTCCTTGACAGCGTCCATGAATTTTACGGACTTGGATTACTACAAAGTCACGTAAAAGATACTCGGGGAGCTAGTAGAGCTGCGTGGCCTCTGAACAGATCAAATATCTGTTGCTGCCCCACCCAGATCTGGGTTTCGTCCTTTCTGTCATGAATGGTTCTCACCAGTGTGCACATGCGTCATTTCTTTATTTCGTTGTTTTTTTGTTTTTTTTTTAATTCTTATGACGATAATGCTTTATCAAAGGGCATCGTCTTTTGTAAAATGAAACGCTCCCTAGGCTAACGCTGTTGAAATGATGAGACACAACTAACAGAATATTTATTTATGGTAAGGCAGCTGCATGCAATCGGCTAGATTCTCTCCTTAAGTGGTCATGATATTCTGAGATGATTTTTTTTTGCTCCCGTTTTAAGTATTTGAAATAACACAAGCTGTTGATTTGCCGTATGCATAGCATCTGACGATGCTATAAGTCTTGCCTCCTTAAGTTTGTTATTTGCTTTGAAAATGTTAAGTACATGTTTATGTTTGGTATACGAATGAGAATTAATAGTCATCAGGTGGTTAAAAAAATACGATAAAGCTTAGTTGACCTTATGATTTGAATGTCTTGCGTTTGTTTCCGATTAGGCGTACACACGTATATATTTTAATAAGCGTCCAAAATATTACACAACCTTACTGGCAACGGTACTAATATTTGCTACACACACAAGATGGGGCAATTTAATGTCATTAACATAATTTTGTTAAAACAATAGTGAATGTTGTCGTTTTGTTTCTGAACCAAGAGAGCACAGGATTGTTGTTTCTGGATCAACAGAACAGATTGTTGTTTTGTTTTTGAGCTAACTCAAACCTATGGATGGTTGTTTCTGGATCAACAGAACAGATTGTTGTTTTGTTTTTGAGCTAACTCAAACCTATGGATGGTTGTTTCTGGATCAACAGAACAGATTGTTGTTTTGTTTTTGAGCTAACTCAAACCTATGGATGGTTGTTTCTGGATCAACAGAACAGATTGTTGTTTTGTTTTTGAGCTAACTCAAACCTATGGATGGTTGTTTCTGGATCAACAGAACAGATTGTTGTTTTGTTTTTGAGCTAACTCAAACCTATGGATGGTTGT